GTTTTATGAAAATTTGGAAGAAATCATGAGTTTTGAGGCTTGATCCGTTATTTTTTATGTTGTTTTGTCGATTTGATCGCACGAGTAAGTCCGTAGGATGTTTTTGAGGTTGTGTGTATATTTGGTTTGGAGCCCCGAGGGCTCGGGTGAGTTTTGGATGGGCCACGGAGTGCATTTTTGGTCTTGGAAAATTGCTGGTGTGATCTGACCTGCAGGCTTCACACTTGCGAAAGCCTGGCTCGCAAATGCGAAAAACACTTCGCAAATGCGAAGGTGCCAACATTGCACAGGGATCGCAAATGCGATCATAGCATCGCAAATGCGAAAGCTGGGACTTTCGCAAATGCGACACTTTTGTTCGCAAATGCAAAGTCCCCAAATAAGCCAATGGTTCGCAAATGCGAACTTTTGTTCGCAATTCCCAAAGTAGCAGGTCCCAGTTCGCATTTTCCACATCCGCAACCTGCATATTTTATACTTAGTCGAATTTTAGACCATTTTTCACCCCACTTTCAAAACACAACTCCTTGGGCGATTTTTCAAGAACAAGCTTCATCCTAAATCATTTGTAAGTTGGTTTTTACTCATTTCTTTCAATCTTTAACATCATTTAACATGTTTCCAACTTAAAATCAATGTTTTTCATGGGTGAAATTGAGGGTTTTGGGTAGAACCTAGGTTTTCTATAAATTGGGGATTTGGACCTCAATTTGAGGTTTGATTTTAAAACAAATTGCATATTTGAGTTCGTGAGGGAATGGGTAACCGGGTTTTGGTTCGAACCTCGGGTTTTGACCACGTGGGCCCGGGGGAGATTTTGCAATTTTTGGGAAAAACTTTGGAAATTCATTTCTATGCATTCAAATTGATTCATTTAGTGTTTGTTTATGTAATTAAGTAATTTGTGGCTAGATTTGAGCGGGTTGGAGGTGAAATTTCGAGGTAAAGCCATAGTTGAGGCTTGAGTTGAGTTCAAGGCATCGAGGTAAGTGTTTGGTTTAACCCTAGCTTGAGGGAATATAAGTTGAGTCTTATTTGTAACTTGCTAGTACGATGTATAGGCATGGTGACAAGTATCTATACATTGGTGTCTATCATGACCCTGAGTCCTTATTTGCGAATAGTTTGGTTGTTGTTATGCCTTCCATGCTTAAAGGATGACTTCTGTATGTTGTAAAGACCTTGTGAAAGAGATTGTGATCTTGAAACTTCGTGGAGCATTGGCTCGGGTTGAAATACAGATTTGTGAAGGTACATGAGATAAGTAATTCTTTGGAGCATTGGCTCAAGTGATAATGTGAACTATGAGATGAAAGTGAAAGAAAGAAAAGAGTTAATGATTTATTCCCTTGCCGGGACGTTGTTGGTTATTGATATTGTACCCTTGCCGGGTTTTTAATTGTTGTTGTGTTCCCTTGCCGGGATTTTTGTTATGGTTTATTTATTCCCTTGCCCTTGTTTGTGATTGTTGATTGGGTGAGGAAGAGTGTTAAAGCACGAAGGGTGATGCCGTGCACTGTTTTTTTACGGTAAGGAAAGAGTGTAAAGCACGAAGGGTGATGTCGTGCATTGTTTGCTTATTATGAGAAAGAGTGTTAAAGCACGAAGGGTGATGCCGTGCCACACGATGTACCATTCCGTGCCAATTCTATTGATATATGTGAGGAATGAGAGTAAAAGCACGAAGGGTGATGCCGTGTAGATGATATTGCTTGGTGAGGACGAGAGTAAAAGCACGAAGGGTGATGCCGTGCACTGGTTGAATTCTGTTTCACTACCTATTATTGAGTTGTGATGTATTCCTTTATTACAGGACGACTCTTATTGGAAATTATTATACTCCCCACAGAATGTTTCCCCTCCCATATTGTTTATCTGTTTTTTATTTCGATTCCACTGTATATATATATACATGAAATTGCACAGGTTTATGTGGTAGTCTGGTCTAGCCTCGTCACTACTTTGCCGGGGTTAGGCTAGACACTTACCAGCACATGGGGTCGGTTGTGCTGATTCTACACTCTGTGCATATTTTTGCACAGGTCCAGGTTTCGAGCAAAGCAGCAGCAGCATTAGCACGGGAGCAGGCTTTCAGTATCGTGAGACCCGAGGTAGCCTTGCAGGCGTCCGCAGGCCCGGCGTCTCTCTCTTATTCTCTCTTTTAGACTGTTGCCTCTTTGTATTCGAGACAAACAGCTTATGTGTTCGTTCAGACCCTTGTATTTAGAAATTCTTAGCAGTTTGTGAGTATTGTGACACCCATCTTGGGTAGAGGCTTATATTGACTACTCCGTGTTTTATTCAGTTTCTATAATTAAGACTTTCGCTATCATTTAATTCTTTGTTTTATATTATTGCCATAAATTGTTAAAAAGATTTGTTTATTGATGGAAATGTAATTAAATTGGCTTGCCTAGGTACTACGAGTAGGCGCCATCATGACTCCCGAGGGTGGGACATCCGGGTCGTGACAAGTTGGTATCAGAGCACTAGGTTACATAGGTCTCACAACTCATGGACAAACTTGGTAGAGTCTGAGGGATCGGTACGGAGACGTCTGTATTTATCCCCTAGAGGCTACAGAGTTAGGAAAAGTTTCACATTTGTTCTTTCTAGTCGTGCGGTTCTGTTTCTCGATGCTAATTGGATTTCCACTCTATTTTTTCGCAGATGGCGAGAACACGCGCTTCTTAATCTACCGATCAGCAGTCTGAGCCCCAGGCAGCTCTCGCTAGGGGCAGAGGACGAGGCCGTGCTAGAGGTCGAGGTAGGGGCAGAGCTCAGCCCCGAGCAGCAGCACCAGTGGCGGAGCCTCAGGTTGACCTTGACGAGGAGGTTCCGGCCCCAGCCCCAGCAATTCCGATGGGCCCAGCTCAGGTCCCAGAGGGGTTTATTGCTACCCCAGTCCTTCAGGACGCTTTGGTCCGGTTGGTGGGCCTCATGGAGAGTGTGACCCAAGCAGGATTGCTTCTTGTAGCACCAGCCACTTCTTAGGCTGGAGGAGGAGCCCAGACTCCTGCTACACGTACTCCGGAGTAGGTAGCTCCCCAGTTTCAGATTCCAGCGGCTCAGCCAGCTACGGCAGTTCAGCCGGGGGTAGTTGCACATGCCGGCGATGGAGCGGCTATGTCCGCAGATGCTTTGTGGAGGCAAGACAGGTTCACCAAGCTCTTCACGGCTACGTTCAGCGATGCTTCTTCTAAGGACCCCCAGGATTTCTTATATAGTTTCCACGAGGTTCTTCGTAACATGGGCCTTGTAGAGTCCAATGGAGTTGATTTTGCTGCCTTTCGTCTATCTGGATCCGCCAAGACTTGGTGGAGGGATTTCTGTTTAGCCAGACCAGCAGGGTCGCCGTCTTTGACTTGGGATCAGTTTTCAGAGTTGTTTCTGGAGAAGTTTCTCCCCGTTACTCAGAGGGATGCTTATCGGAGGCAGTTTGAGCGCCTCCAACAGGGATCCATGACGGTCACTCAGTATGAGACCAAGTTTATCGATCTAGCTCGCCATGCTCTTGTCATACTCCCCACTGAGAGGGAGATGGTGAGGAGATTTATTGATGGTTTGATCCAGCCTATTCGTCTTCAGATGGCCAGAGAGGCGGGGAGTGATATTACTTTTCAGGAGGCGGCCAATATGGCCCGGAGGATCGAGATGGTTTTGCCACAGGGGGTGGTCATAGAGTAGACAAGAGACCCCGCCACTCAGGCCGATTCAGTGGTGCCTCATCTGGAGGCAGGGATTCTTATGAGAGGGGTCAGCCTTCCAGTCCTTTCCACTCAGCCCTCCAGGTTTCGTAGGGTGCCCCAGGTGATCGTGGTTTCCGTGGGCATTATTCGGATCAGCAGTCATTCAGTGCACCGCTAGCTCCTATCAGCGCACCGTCACTTTAGAGTTTCCGCGGAGGCAATTCAGGTCGACAGGGACAGCAAACTTAGCAGCCGAGGGCTTGTTACACTTGTGGTGACACGAGTCATATTGCCAGATTTTGCCCTCGAGCACCGAGCAGTTCTTCGCACCAGGGTTCTCGCGCCATGGTTCAGGCACTAGGTGCTCCACAGCCAGCCCAGCCAGCTAGAGGCGGGGGTAGAGGTACTAGAGGTGGAGGTAGAGGTCATAGAGGTGGAGCTCAAACCGCCAGGGGTGGAGGTCAGCTAGCAGCAGACTGACCTAGGGATACGGTTCAAGGTGATGGGGCCCAGCCCCATTGTTATGCTCTTCAGGCCATGCCCGAGGCTGAGGCTCCAGATGCAGTCATCACAGGTACGGTTCTGGTTTGTGATCGAGATGCTTCGGTACTATTTGATCCAGGGTCTACGTATTCTTTTGTTTCATCTTATTTCGCACCATGCTTAGTCATGCCTAGTGATGCATTGGGTGTTCATGTATATGTGTCTACACTGGTGGGGGACTCTATCGTAGTCGACCGAGTCCATCGTTCGCGTGTTGTAGTGATTGGGGGTCTTGAGACCCATGCAGACTTGTTGCTCTTAGATATGGTTGACTTTGATATCATTTTGGGTATGGACTGGTTATCACCCTATCACGCTATCTTGGACTGCTATGCCAAGACTGTGATCTTAGCTTTGCCGGACATGCCTCGTTAAGAGTGGAAAGGCACTCCAGGTTATTCTACCCGCAGCGTCATTTCGTACGTGAAGGCTCGACGTATGGTCGAGAAGGGGTGTCTGGCCTATTTGGCCTATGTTCGTGATTCCACTGCTGAGGTTCCTCATATAGACTCCGTGCCTATTGTCCGGGAGTTTCCAGATGTTTTCCCTTCAGACCTGCCGGGTATGCCACCCGATAGGGACATTGATTTCTGTATTGATTTGGCTCCGGGCACCCAGCCCATTTTTATCCCGCCATATCGTATGGCCCCACCGGAGCCGAAGGAGTTAAAGGACCAGTTGCAGGATTTGCTTGAGAAGGGTTTCATTAGACCCAGTGTCTCTCCTTGGGGTGCGTCGGTGTTATTTGTCAAGAAGAAGGATGGGTCAATGAGAATGTGTATTGATTACCGACAATTGAATAAGGTAACGATTAAGAATAAGTATCCACTGCCGAGGATTGATGATTTGTTCGACCAGCTTCAGGGTGCCAGGGTATTCTCCAAGATCGACTTGCGGTCTGGCTACCATCAGCTAAGGATTAGGGCATCTGATGTCCCTAAGACAGCTTTCCGTACTCGGTATGGGCATTATGAGTTCTTGGTCATGTCATTTGGGTTGACCAATGCCCCAGCGGCATTTATGGAGTTGATGAACCGAGTGTTCAGGCCATATTTGGATATGTTCGTGATAGTCTTTATTGATGATATCTTGGTGTACTCCCGCAGCCAGGAGGAGCACGAGCAGCACCTTAGAGTGGTTCTTCAGTCTCTGAGGGATAGTCATCTATATGCCAAGTTCTCCAAGTGTGAGTTCTGGCTAAGTTTAGTTGCATTTCTGGGTCACGTTGTATCAACAGATGGTATTCAGGTAGACCCGAAGAAGATTGAGGCAATCAAGAACTGGCCTAGACCAGCATCAGCTACAGAGATTCGGAGTTTCTTGGGGTTGGCGGGCTACTATCGTCGGTTTGTGGAGGGGTTTTCATCTATTGCAGCCCCGATGACCAGGTTGACCCAGAAGGGTGCCCAGTTCAGATGTTCGGACGAGTGTGAGGCGAGCTTTCAAAAGCTCAAGACAGCTCTGACTACGGCACTGGTGTTGATTTTGCCCACATGTTCAGGGCCCTATACCATTTATTGGGATGCTTCCCGTGTTGGGCTTGGAGCAATGTTGATGCAGGACGGCAAGGTCATTGCCTATGCTTCGAGACAGTTGAAGATTCATGAAAAGAACTATCCAGTGCATGATTTAGAGTTGGCAGCCATTGTTCACGCCTTGAAGATTTGGAGGTACTATTTGTATGGCGTGGCATGTGAGGTGTTCACTGACCACAAGAGCCTTCAGTACCTGTTCAAGCAAAAGGAGTTGAATTTGAGGCAGAGGAGGTGGTTGGAGTTGTTGAAAGATTATGATGTCACCATTTTATACCATCCGGGGAAGGCCAATGTGGTGGCCGATGCTTTGAGTAGGAAGTCAGCCAGTATGGGCAATCTTGCTTATATTTCAGTCAGTCAGAAGCCGCTTGCATTGGATGTTCAGGCCTTAGCCATTCAGTTCGTGAGACTGGATGTTTCTGAGCCCAGTCGTGTGTTGGCTTGCACGGTCGTCCGTTCTTCATTATTGGAGTGTATCCATGATCGGCAGTTTGATGATTCCCATTTGTGTGTCCTCAGAGACACGGTGCAGCGTGGAGGCGCCAGGATTGTTACCTTAGATGCGGATGGAGTTTTGAGATTGTAGGGGAGAGTTTGTGTGCCCAATGTGGACGGGCTTCGAGAGTTGATCTTAGAGGAGGCCCATAGTTCCCGGTACTCTATTCATCCCGGCGCCGCGAAGATGTACCAGGATTTGCGGCAGCATTATTGGTGGCGTAGAATAAAGAAGGATATTGTTGCATTTGTGGCTCGGTGTTTGAATTGTCAGCAGGTTAAGTATGAGCATCAGAGGCCTGGTGGTTTATTTCAGAGGATTGAGCTTCCCGAGTGGAAGTGGGAGAGGATCACTATGGACTTTGTTACCGGACTTCCATTGACTCGGAAGAAGTTCGATGCAGTTTGGGTCATTGTGGATAGGCTGACCAAGTCAGCGCATTTCATTCCTGTGGCAGTCTCCTATTCATCCGAGAGATTAGCTGAGATTTATATCCGGGAGCTTGTTCGCCTTCATGGTGTGCCGACATCTATCATTTCGGACCGGGGTACGCAGTTTACCTCGCGCTTCTGGAGAGCAGTTCAGCGAGAGTTGGGCACACGGGTAGAGTTGAGCACAGCATTCCATCCCCAGACAGACGGTCAGTCCGAGCGGACTATTCAGATTTTGGAGGATATGCTCCGGGCTTGTGTTATTGACTTTGGAGGTTCATGGGATCAGTTCTTGCCTTTAGCGGAGTTTTCCTACAGCAACAGCTACTAGTCGAGCATCCAGATGGCTCCTTATGAGGCTTTGTATGGTAGGCGGTGTCGGTCTCCGATTGGATGGTTTGAGCCGGGAGAGGCTCGGTTGATAGGTACGGATTTGGTTTAAGAGGCCTTGGACAAGGTCAAGATCATTCAGGATAGGCTTCGTTCAGCTCAGTCCAGGCAAAAGAGCTATGCAGATCGTAAGGTTCGAGATGTAGCTTTCATGGTTGGTAAGCGGGTATTGCTCCGAGTGTCGCCTATGAAGGGCGTGATGAGATTCGGGAAGAAGGGCAAGCTTAGCCCTAGGTACATTGGTCCGGTTGAGAATCTTGATCGAGTGGGAGAGGTGGCTTATAGACTTGCATTGCCGCCTAGCTTATCAGCCGTGCATCCAGTTTTTCATGTATCCATGCTTCGGAGGTATCACGGTGATCCAGCCCACGTGTTAGACTTCAGCATTGTCCAGTTGGACAAGGATTTGTCCTATGAGGAGGAGCCGGTAGCTATTCTAGACCGGCAGGTTCGTCAGTTGAGATCCAAGAGTTTTCCTTCTTTTCGAGTTCAGTGGGGAGGTCAGCCTCCTGAGGCATCGACCTGGGAGTCCGAGTCTGATATGCGGAGCCGTTATCCCCATCTTTTCCCCGACTCAGGTACTTCTTTCTTTTGTCCGTTCGAGGATGAACGATTGTTTTAGAGGTGGAGAATGTGACGACCCAAAGGGTCATCACCTGTTTTCTTATTCATTCTGTGCTTCCGAGGCCTTGAAAACATCATTCGGGGTTGCCTCGATTTGCGTGCGCAGTCCGGGCGCGTAGCCGGAAAACTTAAACATGAATTCTGTGTGAAAAATGCTAAATTTTGATATTAATATGAATATTTGGAAGAGGCGCCGCCACCGGAGAATCTTAGGGCGGCGCTAGGGTTCATCCCTTCAAATTGATATTCGAAGAGTTCTGGGCAGATTCGAAGGAAGTGAAGCACGGATTTGGAAAGAGGAGGGTGAAGGGAGTCTGGGCGGTATTTTTGATGGTGATTGGAGACTTGCCGCCGCCGTGGCCCGATTTTCGATGGCGGCTGGCAGTGGCGTTACAGGGGGTCTCTGGAGATAGTGAGAGACGAGTGAGGGGGGGGGGGAAAGGTTTGGTTTGGGGGAGTCGATGCCTCCTTTTTCTCGCAAAATCGGGTTTACGACATTTGGGAGGACAACTCTATTCCCTTTTGGGATTTGGGTTTTTGGAATTGAAGAGTCGCCACCTAATGATTAAGTGCATTAGGACACTGAGGGTTTTTGAGTTGGAAAACCAGAGTTTGGGTAAGGACTAGAAATTATCTCGAGGGGAAGGTGTTAGGCACCCCTCAAGATCCACTAGTGTGGTTCCCGGCCATGCTATATTGTGACTTCATGTAATCAAATAAACAATCAAAGATTCAAATATACAACATTGCAAATAAGCTAAAAAGACTTTGAAGGTACGTAGGAAGACAGAGATTTATGAAAAGATTTGAATGGTTTTACAAGAAGAGACGAAAACAAACAAAGGGAGAGGGGTCCTAGGTTTATGATTAATATGGATCATTAATGCAATACTCAGTAATTGCTCCTTAGAAAAGGGGCTACATGAGATATTAGCGCATCGGTCATCATCTCCATATTCTACCCTTCCCACCCCGTAAAGGTTACTAAACGCGTGTGTTGGTCACGAATACTTACCGCGTGCTATTACCCGCCCGGTTCTATAAGTCCTGGAGGGTATTTAGGACCACTATTCCTATGTGGTAGGGACTAGGCTGAACCCTTAAGTTTAAAGGCAAAATGCTAAGCGACATACATAACAAATAGGACTGCACATAAGGGAACATAGAAAATCAAATAAAGGCTCACAAATCCCTCCTCAAATGAACGCATAATTAGCATGTCTTAAACACATTCAAGGTCTCAAAGATAGGAGTTTTTACAAAAGAATAGGTAACAACAGTTAAAGCATGGTTTAAAAAAATGAAGTAGCAACAGTAATTTAATGAGGTACAGGACAAGTAAAATAGCACGATTCTGGGCAGAGGTTGGTAACCCAGTGATTTGAGAACATAAAAATCAGAAACTCAGTAAGAGTAAATAGGTTCACCATTTCAAAATCGTTTTCAGATGGAGCAGAGTTTTTTTCTAAAAAAAAATAGAGTGAACTTCAGAGAATCAAAGCAAGAATGGATGGTGTTTGTAAGCTGTGGGTATTCTCCTTTTGCCAAATATTCCTTGATATCCTGAAACCAAGGTTTTCCATCTGCTTCTTCTTCGACATGAGCACAGTAAGCTAGCCGATCATAGATCTTCACGGGAATAGGATCAATGAAGTTCTTATCTGGATGTTGTATCATGGATGATAGGGTAGCCAATGCATCGGCGAGCTCATTCTGGATTCTGGGAACATGCTGGAACTCTGTCTTTGTGAACCTCTTTATCAACTCCTGTACATGATGCAGATAAGGGAGTATTCTGGAGTTCTTGGTCGCCCATTCTTCTCGAACCTGATGTATAAGCAGATCTGAATCCCCAATTACTAGCAACTCTTGGATGTTCATGTCAATGGCCATCTTGAGCCCTAAAATGCAGGCCACGTATTCGGCCATGTTGTTGGTGCACGGGAACCTGAGTTTGGCAGACACCGGATAATGCTGACCGATTTCTGACACTAGGACTGCTCCTATGCCAACTCCTTTGAAATTTGTTGCTCCATCGAAAAACATTCTCCAACCGTCATAGGATTCTGCAATATCCTCTCCTATGAATGATACCTCTTCATCAGGAAAATACGTCTTTAGGGGTTCGTATTCTCCATCCACGGGGTTTTCGGCAAGATGATCTGCTAGTGCCTGTCCCTTGATTGCTTTCTGAGTTACATAGACAATGTCGAATTCACTCAACAGGATTTGCCACTTAGCTAGCTTGCCGGTGGGCATGGGCTTCTGAAAAATGTACTTTAGAGGATCCATCCTTGATATGAGGTATGTAGTATAGACACAGAAGTAGTGCCTCAACTTTGAGCTACCCAAGTCAAAGCACAACAGGTGCGCTCTAACAGAGAATACCGGGCTTCGTACGGGGTGAACTTCTTGCTGAGATAATAGATGGCCTGCTCCTTCCTCCCCGTTTCATCATGTTGCCCCAGAACATAACCGAATGCTCCGTCCAATACTGCGAGGTAGAGTAATAGAGGTCTTCCTGGCTCGGGCGGGACCAAAACTGGTGGTGTGGACAAGTATTCCTTAATTCTATCGAAAGCTTTCTAGCATTCATCAGTCCACTTGGTGGCGACATCCTTCTTCAACATCTTGAAGATCGGCTCACAGATGACCGTAGATTGTGCTATGAACCGGCTGATGTAGTTGAGTCTTCCCAAGAAACTCATCACATCCTTC